GTGCACGTCCACTATTTCTTTTTCACGGAGGCTAGGCAACGCTCGATCCTCCGTTGGAGAGAAGATGGCCGCTGTACATTTTACTACAATACCATGCGAGCCTAACACAGCCCATAAGGCAAAAGGAAGCACATATATAAAAAGGACTGGGGGGCTCATCAGAAATTTTGAAAAGGACTCCTAAGAGATGCCAAGATCCTGTTTTGTGGGAGTGGCTTGAAATGCTTCCACCCCCAGGAGGTACCAATTCTAAAACAACATATTATTTGCTTGTCAAATTGTGTTCAGTTCAATACTCGAAAAGATACTGCAAAAGCTCCTACTGTGGCCTTTTTGATGCTGAGCACCATACGAGGTACCAAAACCATTTTTTTAACCCCTAAAAGGTATGACGAGCACCGCCATCATTTTTATGTGGGAGTGCCCTCCCCCCCCCCCAGGACATATCCCTCCTTCCCACCCAAAAAAGTCTTCCCCTTTCCCCAAAAAACATCCTTTTGAGCAAAGCCCAACTCTTATAATTAAAATTTTACTCTAAATACAAACAGGTCCACCGTTGCCAAGCCGTAACTACAGTGAAGAGGATACTGGCAATCAAAGAAGAAGGAGGAGAAGAAATGGTAATAGTCAGAAAGAGACATCAGGTTTGTGAATTGGCTGAGTTATGGCACACAGTAATGAACAATTTACAATTAGAAACTTTTAGGTTATAGCACTCATGCAGTGTAATCCTAGAATGGTGAATTTCAAAACTTTATCAAAAGTTTGTAAGACATATAATAAGTGAATAAGATACTCGATTCAACAACTTAATTACATTTTTTTACAGGTTTCATTGAGATTCCAATTTTGAAGTCACGAAGTACATGTCCATGTAAGCAATCAAACACATGTCGTATTTCTAACCTTTTGCAGATACCAATGATACAATTGAAAACAGTAGAACGGGAAAGATGTCTGTAATGGAAGCAATTGAAGAACTGGAGACTATTGAATCTGAAGGACAGGACAACAGACAACTTGAGAAAGAAAACCTAGTGAAACCTCTAAAGAAGAGGCCCAAATCTGAAGGATTTGAAATTTTTGAAAAG